GAGATGGGTAGCCAAGCGACGGCAACTCGAACGGTCGCAAGAATGGAACATAATGCTCCCGAAGTATGAAATGCCACGCATGCGCAAACACGGGTAACACACAGAATGTGCAAACATTACAGCGAAAATAAACTGACCTATGCCCGCTCCTGTGTTGCAGTAGGAGCAATGATACAAACAAGAAACGTAGCATTTTATATTCGCATTCCTTCTCGATAGGCAGCTTTCCGGGCATTCGGTTTAATTCCTCATGTAACCTAGCTAGGCGTTTCGAGGATTTGCCACTCAAGTCCCAGCGCTAAGGTGTCAAGGCCGTCAGGGAAAAACAGGTCTCCCCAAGTATGTGGTTTACTGTAACCTACATAAATAGAAGTTTTTCCGTATTTTTCAACGATCTGAGATAGAGCTAATCAAACAAACAGCTCAAATTATGATCAAACGTCAGCAAGAGAGATACGGAGCTCCAAGGTCTTCGATTGATCTACGAGGATTTGAAGTATAAGACTATGTCGCCGTCTGTGTTGAGCTGGTCTCAAGCTGCCTGTTGGAACAGGAATGGTGAGCGATATTTGAGAAATCTCTCTTGGGCAGGGAATCGTCTCGTTGAAGGTTCAGCTATCAAAAGCAAAAAGGAAGATGAGCCGACTTTCAAGATGGTAAATTACACGGGGTTGAAACCTATTAGTTGCCTATAAGTTGCACAGTCTATACACACTGAACCTACATAGACTACAACAGTTACATCGTGGTCTGGTTATCATCCCGTGTGCTACGAGCATGTAGTGTGTGTGACTGGAGACGAAGATGGTATACGTCTTAGACGCCAAGCAATGAACAACACTAAGGATAGTGAAATTTACTCACTCGAAAGCATGCACATGATGCCTCATTCTCAAGTGAGGATCTTGGTAAACTGCTGGATGCTTCGAGTGGTAGTGAACTGGTTTTGCAGTTAGGGTCAGCTAACCAAATTACCCTTTGTCGAGAGCGATTGAGGTAATAGATTCATTTGGCTACCTCAACAGATAAATCTCACATGATTTATGAATAACAGCAGGGGAGGTGAGCTGCGTAGTAACGCAGACCTACTATTCAGTGGTGCGAAATGGCAACTTGAGCGCTGGGATCACGAGTGGTAAACCATATAAGGCTCTGGTAGGTTTGGCGGGGGATTCACTTGAACGCCAGTAAAGCTGTCTATCACCAAAGTTGTGCTGTTCGAATGTTGAATCATAGGGTCCAAATCATGGCCACTGACACTAATTAAACCATTGCAGCATCACTATCCTGATTCACGGATGAGGCTTTCGGCATGCAGATAGCAGGCTCGGTTCGCGTGTCCCAACTTGGGGCAACTCAGTCGCCACCGCGCGTTAGTGTCAGGTCGAGTACACTTTGTAAGTACGTGAGAGAAATGGCTGTTCCGGTCACAGGACAAAGATAGACAGTCCATGTTTGAGCACCGCTGTCTCCGTCCGACAACTGCACTAACAATAGTCGCGCACTGTAACATGTTACACATGTTGCCAAAAATGGTTGCACGACACGCGATCGTTGGCAAAAAAGATACTGACCGAAAAACGTTTACTTTAAACCTAGAGACGTGTGAAACTACTGCCTAGAGGACTCGGTGTTTCGCTAATGTCGTAAACACTGGTACGCGTGTAAATATTCCATTTATTCGCAAATTGCAGCAAGACCAAACGGGAGTATTTAAGCACCCTCATATAGCTTTGAGCTGGTAAACAAGGGTTTCCAACTAATCGTATGGTTTCGGACACGGGTACTTGGTTGACCGAGAGCCACCAAACGGACCGTATTGTTTTCGATTGACCGAATATTTAATCAATGTTTGAAACTCGTCATTTTCAGTTGCATGATTCTCTGGATGAATCTTACTAAACCCACAACTCGTCGTACCTGACTTCGCACTATACAGTGGGTTCTCAATCAGAGAACGCGCTAATCAATTCCGATTAGAACACCCACTATACCTATGTTCTTTACTTTGACTATGATACAGTCCTGTATTCACTAGTTTTTGCCCCCTCTCGGTCATCAAAATTGGTAGCCAAAAGCGCCGCACACAAAAACAAGGTCTTTGTCCTTATCGCATTAATCGTAACGTTGAGATGAAGCGAAAGACAACCCTGGCAAGACCCAATTTCGTGAATTCGCACCAAATGGAGATGGGACCATCAAATCATTCTTAGCTAGGACAGATCACTTAAAGACTAAATGCTGATAATGCATTTACTATATTAGTATAAGTAAATGTGGATCGACGATACTTATGTTCGGGTAAAAAGATGCAGTGACTGGGAAACAGTCCGTAGATTCGGACGCGAGCACTATCAGTGTTCAGTATATTTTTCGGTGAGGTTACTTCAAGAAATTTATTGGGAAAAACTTGATCGGATACACCGCAGTAGTAGTCATTACGCGATCAATGCAGTTCACCGTGGAGAAAAAGAAGGTACGTTAGGATCTATTGCTGTGGTGCGTTAAAAAGAATCGTATTCAAAACCGAATCACAGGAATATTGTTTTCCTAATTAGCCTCCGTGCCTGTATGATCCTATGGGCCAAACAGGATGGATCCCCACAGCCGCAGATTCAATCATGCCTGCAGGAGCCAGACAAAGTTGTCTCACAAAGCCATCTGCTCGGGCACTTCCTGGCTTCTTTCGCCTATCTACACTCATCCTTCGAGAGGTTATTCCGGCGAATAAACACGGGGAGCGGCAGTTTACCACTAGATGGACGTAGGAGCGAAGTACCTGGGCCTTAGTGTTGAAGGTCAGATAACGTTCCGCATTTCATTGAAAAGCTACCGCCTGCCCAAACTAAACAGCCCCCACGCAATAAGGGACTCTCTCGTCCACGTTCCTCATCTTTGGTCTGCCAAACACTGATCAACTTGGAAATCGCGAATCATCTTTGCGAAAAATAATAATTCCTGATCAACCGTGTTGATGGTGATGAAAGCAAAAACAAGTGAGTGACCATTGATGTATGGACACAGAAATATGGGTTGGGCTGCTTTCGACCGCCATCGGTCAGCAAACAGTGGTAGTCGATTATCTTCAGCAACGTGGAAGTGTTGATTTTACCATTATAAGGCTGCAACAAGAGAATATCCAGAACAGTAAGCTTGAAAGACCAGATAGCTTTCTTATTCGAAAGCCACATGTGACGNCGGCTGAAAACAATGGCGGTGGTTTGTACGTCGTGACGATAAAACTTTGGTTGCCAGCATATGAAACGAAGGATAAAATGGTATTTTTTCTCAAGGTGGATTTGTGTATGAAACCGAAGCAACAGCTTGAGTCTCCGCACCATGAGGGCAATATTAGCTTTGTGCATCTCCTTTCTAACCCGTTTCTATTCAAATCCTTCGACAAAACGTAATTGTTCTCAACAAGGAAATCACACATTATGTTCAGGCTTGTTCCGTCACCGCAGTTGAATCTGAAAACGAATTATGATAAGCGGTACATATGTGCACGGTAGATTGAGAGGAATTCAAGCGCAGTATGACAACCGAAGAGCTCCAGTGTCCGAAAAAAGATGTGGGGTTTTTTCCCCGAGCCGACGCACATTATGGTTCGTCGACCGTGGAAGTTAGACGTAGTGAGGGTTCCAGTAAAGAAAACCCCTTTTAAGCGGATCCCCGGATTCCCCACCGCATTGGGAGAACGACTTTCTCCAGAAAATGACGATAAAGGTTAGTTGCAAGGGAAAAGATCATTCAATTTACAGAAGTAAAAAGGCGGCTCCCGTCCGTGCGCTTTCAACAAAGTAGTTGATTCACTGGCTGCAGCTTTGCGTTTCGAAACTTACCCGATGATTCAGAAAGCCCAGCTCAAAACGAAAAGCACAGAAGTTGTAGACCACGTCTAGGGTCAGTTGCTAATGACCGCGAGGGTGCAATTAGGTGACACGATCCACCTATCGTGTCTTTTTATTTTCTCCCAATGTGAATCTACCAAGTTATTTATTCAGCTCTTTTTAACAGTTGGTCAGCGAAATTTGAAAGTCCGTGATGAAAACATTCCTCACAAATAAGCAGCTTCGCATCCAACCGTATGCACAAAAAGTCTTCAAGTTTCACGTGGGGTTATGCATTCACCTGATCCGTTTTATTTAGGAATCTTAGCAAAGACACATTAAAAACGGATCGATGTGATCGTTGAATGCATAGCCGATCAAAGGTTTCGCAGCTGTCGAGTGAGAAATCGGGAGATTGGTGCAGTTATGCGATGACACCATGAGATAATAGGATTCGATCGAAATCGCGTAGTGCTAACCAGATTATTGAGACCAAAAGAAATTTATACATTGATTACTCAATATATTTCTTTTTTTCAGAAATTTAATAAAACGGGCGCGAACAACAACTCATGATGTACGGGTCGCTAATGGTCAATGTGATGAGTTCTGCATGAAAAAAACGGGAATAACGAACACGGTTCGCTCAAACATGCTAGACGCTAACTGCTTCATTTCCATTAGAGTGGGTATTTAGGACTAAGCAGAAGCTCGTAGTTTTGCGAGTTGTCGAACTGAATGGAAGACAACTTCAATGGGACGACTGGTAAGGTGCATGGAATTGCCGAGTGTTTGTACCCGGACGGTTGCCAATCGCGGAAGATCCTCCGTGTAGAAATGAACAGATATTGGAATTCAGGCAAACGGCAAAAAATGGATAGCAAAGACGGATGATCAAACAAATGATTGGATCGAGCAAAACCCGTGATCTAAAGAACCACGTGGAATAATATTGAGAGGAAATGCTCTCAAAGCCGTGATAGACCTATACCAAACATGGCTGACAACGGGAAACAAAAAGAATGTTAGAGTGTGTAAACAATTACTCTTTTCAAATACGTCAGTTTCTATAATTTCGTGAAACAACCAAAAAAGACGGATACGGACAGGAAACGAAAACATTCTTGTGAATTTGAATACACAACGGGTGTTTAGGATCTCCGAGTAGTGTTAATAATATGATTGTGGTGGATAGTTGTATCCGTAAGATTGGTTGGGGTATGGATATTGGTCATTGATCATATGAGGCCCCGCGGCGGGTGGGTACTGAGCTCCAAGCTCTGACGAAGAACCCGGTGGCCAAGAATATGGATAAGGATCAGGAAGTGTACCGATCGGTCCCATTGAACTGGACGACAAATCACTAGCGTTTCGGTTTCCGGCGTTTGACTTCGTGCCACCTCTTTTGCCTCTTTTGCGGCGCTGCCATGATGGTGCTGTGGGTGCAGGGGGTTCATCTTCATTTGGACCACCATAACTATCATCCTTTGAGCGTAAAGCAGCCGATCCGGGATTGCGAGCACCCTGATAATGTTCATCTGACTCACGACGGTTCAAACCACCCACTGGTCCGCGAGAATCCTGTGCCGTCTTGACATCATTCAGGTACATTGGTTGTTGAGTTGGTTGCTTATAAGTGGAGAATCCGCTTGGTGTGTTGTTGGCTGCTGAGTAGTCCCCGGCAGGTCTCTGACTACCGTATCGTGTAAAATCGTCCATCCGTTGTTGCATGGGATTTATATCCGCCCGACCGGTTTTTACTGATCCTGGACCAGATCCGTAGGACATTCGATTAGGGCCCGCCATTGTGCCGGAGTTACGCTCTTGAGGCATGTTTACTGCGGAATTCTTCCCATATGACTGTTGTTGTGACTGCGCTGAGGCGGTCGCAGACAGTCCGGTAGAGGCGGACGTTGGAGCTGGAACGGGTTGAGGGAACTGACCAGGAGGAAGCATCATCAGTGTATCGAGAGCTTGCTGTATGGCCGGGTTCGGTAAGGCGCCTGCTAACCGATTGATCGTTTGAAGATTATTCGCATCTAGTGTTGAGTTTGGAATGGAACTGGATTGACTTGGGGTCGATGTCAACTGCCCAACCGCGTTCACCGATGCGGTGGAACTATTCGAGGTTGGTGGATAGAGCATGCTCAAAATTCGAGATTTCAGGTCACTTGTGGTTCCATTCCTTGTATCGGCTGAATCGAGAATCCGATAAAAAAACAACGAGTTAGTGATTGACCAAGCAAACTGGACAGGAAGCACAGTAGCCAAAAAACCTGAAGGACCTGGAAAGTTCACTAATAACAGGCGCATTATGTCACTCACGAGCCAATGACTAATGCAAGCCAAACTGGAAAAACGGCTGGATTGGCATCCTGCATCATAGAGCGAAGTAATGGAAAATATGGCGGTTCAACCAGGGCACTAAGCTTTAATCTCGTAGCTTTGGACTGGGATTTGATGGGTCATTACTGCTGAGTTGCACTCAACACATCCAAATAGGACATTTGGTTTAAACAATGAATGACTTCAAACTCGCCAAATGTGAAGCAACTAAGTGGGTTAGTTATCAACGTATCTATTCGATAATCCACCCCGCTACGACATGGCGAAAGAATTAGTTCCTGGACTTTTCTAAAGGAAATCAACCCGTAGATCCACGAGATGACTCATCGGAGTTCAAATTTTTCCTGAAATATCGTTTTTCCCGGAAGAAGCCAAACTTCATAATCTTGATTGCATTTGAAATTACCTTGTCTAAATCATAACCTCCGGAAAACGTGAATCAGATGCGCCTTTATCATCCAGACTGAAATTTACATTTTTTCGAGAATTGTCATCTTACTAATGCCTCAGCGACTATTTCATAATCTCCCGGGTTTTTTGTAGAGTCGAGAACACCATGCTCCAACAATCGTCGAATTAGGTGACCCTATGATGCAGTTATTCGTAAATAAATACCCGTTGTGCAGTTAGGCCAGGTGTTGGGTCTACGGTGATAAAAAAAACTATTTCTCGATATAGGATAAGCACTAGGTTAGTAAAATGAATTTTCGCAAGCGAGAGCTTATAACACGGTTCCGTGGAGTAGGTTACGATTGAAAGTTCTTGGAACGGTCAATAAACTGACGTTTACCGATAGACTGCTTGCTGTAGTATCATTGTGGCAGGTCATGCACACATAGACAGGGCGTATGACACCCTTTATCGACTTTACCGCAAAAACTAGTTGTGTTCGGTTGGCTTTGGCTCATGGTGTACAAAACTGGCCGTTACGCAGCAATTATGCAGTGTTTTAGCATCAAATGAACAATGCCGACATGTGGCATATAGTCACTGCGAACACCTCGATTTGATGCGCGTGTCATGTCATAAGGTCTTTCCCGGGGTTTGAAGAGGTGAGTTAAGAGCATGGAGATGTTTTAGGGTTTTAAAAGAAATCCCGGTGGGGCGCGGCTGAAAATTCGAAGTCGGCCGTGCCTGAGTTCAAGACTCAGCGAATTCTATTTGGATGCAAATCGTGCGATGCTGAGGAATATGTCAAACAGCTAATTCTGTGAGAGGTTATAGTCTACGTTCCATAATGGTTCGCATTTGCAGATGAGACAGTAGAATCGTAAAGAGCAACAAACGGGTAAAGCCTCTTTAGTATGCCACCGAATTGTGCACATTGGATGAAGTGCACCGAATCGACACCANGACACCAAAACGCAGGGGTATCATACACAGGGGCAATCGTCGACTCAGACAAATCAATATAACGTCGCAGTTCGCGGTTCCAACTCGAGTAATAGACAGCTTTAGTGTCGTTTAGCTTATTACCACACCAATCATTAAGGAAACTTGAAAAAAACCTCTGTTAATGTTCCGAGGCTGATGTTATCGATTTCTAGGCAGATCACATTTTCGTCACCATTGATTCGCAAAGCAAGTGGTGCTAACTTAAGAATTCTCGAGATTTTCAACGGTGAACAGATAGAGAGCTTCCGCTCACCATCAGCAACTGCATTTGAAGTCACGCTATTACTCTTGCAACAGTTAGCGTTATAGCCAAATAGTTGCTGTGAAAACTGAAACGCTTGACAGGATCACAGACATTTAGACAACACAACCCCACACGTATTATGCAAAAAGCGTGGAGTATCTTTTGCATAGCATATGGCCCGAGTAGACCTAACGAAAATATTTGAAATGCAACCCAATAGCCTCATTACGGATGTGAACATTTGATCGTGGTTTTCAAGTGCCACGTGATCACATGAGCACTGTATCAGAGACAAGTGAAACAGAGACAGTGATCAACGGCAAGCCATGCAGAGAATGGGTGATGTTCCTTCCATTAGGAGAGAAAGTCTCGTAGAACTCATCTTGACCAGATGGCTGCTGTAAACCGAGAGTTAGTAATTGAGTCTGGGATAGAGAATTGGCAAGAAACGTTCTTGGTATGGGAAACTTGGAAGCATTCCATCCACTAGCAAATCATAGATTTTCATTTATGAAAGTGCTGAGTTTGACACAGTTTGGGTTAGGAAGTGAGTGAAATATAATATATATTTCACTGAAAAAGTTAGAGTTTGCGGCTGAGCGCTTCTGGTACCTATACCAAGAAATTCAGGACTGTGTAGGGGTTGGACTAGTGATGAAGAGCGTATCCAACCATCAAATGCTTTTGGAACGCAAAGCGAAAGACCCCAACAATCACTAACAAATCAAAAGTCGCTCAAGTCGGTTTAAAATTGAGGTACTGGAGTGGCAGAAGTTGTAACATAGTTCTGGAACATCCGTTTTCCAGTGCATACGAAAAGTTCACAAAGACCTAAACACGAAAAAATTGAACGCGTCGATCAAGCAGATACTGAGCGTCTGGTCAGAATGAATTTCCCTAAACTCAATCTGATCTTGTATTGGGCACCTTGTAGACATTGCGGTAGAATAAACGCACCAGTTGTTCTGTATCACATAAATGGGTAGCGCACCGTGCAAACAGCAAACCGCCCTGCTGGGCGGTGTGGATGACCAAAAACCCTTGGGTCCAGATTGGTGAACTATCCCATAAAGGTCCAAAGAGGTAGTGATTGAGTCCTCGGATAGTTCCTTCAAATCAACTGAGACATCTTGAGCCACCGGAAGAATGGTAAAGGAAGAGAAGAGCTTCAAACCACCCAAGGAGTATTGATATCCAAGTGCAACAAGCCATCAAGGGGAACCGCATTTGAACTGGTTGCGTCAAATCTAAGACAATGCACAACTGATTCAAGTAATCCGGAATACCTGCGCACCCACACGATGGCGATGGGAGAAACCGACCTCAAGCACATGGAACATCACATAGGAGTATGATTAGGGTTCTACCATGCTGTAGTAGCTATAACAAGGCAGGCTATCAGCGTGATACACTTCACCAAACGCTAAAAACAAAATTCACGTACACGAGATTCAGGAACGCTGAAGTAGTGGAATCCTGACACAAATATGTATGGATATCACAATACTTCAACAGACAAAATGAAGTATTTCATAAGTGTGTTTGGAAAAGCAAACAAAGCGGACTTTTGAGTGGATGAAGACTGGGATGCAGGAATTTTGAAGTGCGAAAGCCAGATGTCCAAAATGAGCCAAAGGGATTAGGCACTGCAATCACAGGCTTGCAGTGGATCGCTGAGCAACAACATCCGAGTAGCTGAACTGCGACACTACAAATCGAGAACAAATAGCTTCATGCAGTTCGATCCACCATCAGGTGACTATTGAGTAAGAAGTCGAATGCTACACAGCGGAAACAATGTTGAGACCAACAAAGAATCCAATGACAGCCTCTATGGTAGGATTTGTCAACTGTTCCAAACAGGCAAGAGAAATGAGAAACAAGTGGATTAGGTGATTGGGCCGTACCAAGACAAAGAAATGACAATCGACTTGCGGTAACCGACAGTACAGGACCGTGAATTGATCTGACCATTCCGGAGGATGAAATTTGAAAACTTTTCTCCAGAAAGTTCGCCGGTTATCTATCCCTCACTTTGAGTTTGCCACACACGGGTTTAATGATTTCATCCTCAACAAACGTACCCCTCTCCAAATAAACACGAGTGGGAACTGCACTCATAGATCCTCCACTTTTTATTCACCTTTTTTATTTAGGTAGCTACACCTCAACCGGTGGACGCATCACAAATGAAGTGCCGGCGCGCATACAAAAGGCTCGATTGACATTTGCCAACTTGAGACATCTGTGGCGCCGTCGCGACATCCGGCTGTCTGTGAAGGGTCGAGTGTATGCTGCAGCAGTTAGGCCAGTCCTGCTCTACGGTGCAGAGACTTGGTCACTAAAGGAACAGGATAAAAATAGATTGTCGGTGTTCGAACACCGCTGTCTACGTTGCATTGCACGTGTCTGGTGGGGTAACCGGACTAGCAATGCTGAGGTTAGGCGTAGAGTTTTAGGCAGTCGCGGTCGTCCACTAGCGCAAGTGATCGACCTCCATAGATTACGCTGGCTGGGACATGTGCTGCTACGCATATCACCAGATAGGTTGCACGGCGAACGAACTGCCGCGGCAGTTCGGCAGTTCTGCTATACGGCGCAGATACTTGACCAATAAAACAGGACAAAAATAGACTGTCGGTGTTTGAACACCGTTGTCTACGCAGCATTGCACGAATTCAATGGGGCAACAGGACAAGTAATGCTGAAGTAAGGCACAGTTTTGGGTAACCGCGGTCGCCCACTGGAGCAAGTGATCGACATCCATAGAATACGTTGGTTGGGACATGTATTGCGCACGTCACCAAATAGGTAGTCACGGCGAGCGATGTTTGCCGAGACAGGTATTGGGTGGAAAAAAGCCAAGGGTGATCGACCCAAGACCTGGCAAGAGAGTATAAAGTCACTAACCAGGGTACTGGGTCACATAGATCCCGTTAGGCTACCCGGCTGGGGACCTTGGGATTATCGCAACCGATGGTTAGGGACTGAGTATCGTAAACAGTGGCGTTCGTACATCTCAATTTCTGCACAAACCTAGACCACTGAAATTCTTCATTTCCTGTTTGACTCCACTTTCAACCTTTCCTGTGTTTCTCCTATTCCTCATCCAAATGAGCAGTCAAAAGACGGCAACCAAAACCGCCGCACGAAGGTGCATGGTTAATGGTTGTACAAACGGAACCAAACTGATCACACACCTAAGTGTGTTAAGCGGCAGAAAGGTGAACTCCATAGTCTTGAAGACCTGCTGTTCAGTGGTGGAAACCTGCAACCTAAGCCCTGGGACTTGGAGTGGCGAACCACAACGGACCCAATGGGTTAGGCGTGGTATTGAACAGGACGACAGCAGAGCTGTCCACCACTTGAGAGGAAGACAAAAAATAAAATCGACCGTCCGCCGATTATTTCAGTTCCAAAGTAAATGAGACGGAGTCCGAAGGCGTGTTGTTTGAGGTGGATGTCCGGGCTGATGCTGGTCCTTATTTCCGTGCACCTCACGAAATCATTTTAATCGACCAAAAGTTTCAAGATGCCACTGCTGAAAAAGCCCAACAAATTCTTCACGTGGTGGATGTGCATTCCTGCCATTGAATGGTCACCTAGGGTTTGAAGAAAAATTGAATGCAAACCCACCAAAAACAAGGTTACGAAAGGCACCAGCATCTTGGTTGGTTGAGCATCAAGGTGTATCGAGCACCTGGAACGACTGACCTCGTTCAAGGGCATATGATCAGATAAACTGAGTACCGGTTCCAATGGATTGCGGATTTCGTACATCGCCGAGGATGAGGTTTCGAACAACCAAGGGCTCCGGTTCAGTCCGAAAACTCACATGCGTTGGAGTGGGCAGCATCAGACTGATCCGCCCGTGAACAGATTAATACCGGAGTTTTTATTTATAAAGATGGTTGTCAAGTGATTGGTAGGACACAGAGTGAAATATAGTAGTTAAAAGATGAAAAACCATACTGACGCGACCAAGGCTGGTTACGTTGTTTGGTAGGATTCATAGCGCATTCGGGAATAAACAACCTCCGGCGAAAAATGTGCAAATGGATAACTGACAGCTTAGATCCGAAAGGTGTGGTTTCCGGGATCACAAGCTGGTAAACATCTTCGCGACGGAAAGGATCTACGTGGTTCTGCACCGTTGAGGAAAGGCGTTCGGGTAACAGATTTCCAACGCATAGGACCTCGGGCGCAAAGCCGTTTGGTGAATCACGACCAATGATGGCTCTGCTGAGGGAGTTCTACTCATAAGGATTGTCATGTGACAGGGTTGTTAGTACTGATTTGTGAAGGCAGGAAGCTAGCTTGCGGAGTTATGACCAGGTTGTCTCGAGAGAAGTTGAAAAAGTTGAAAAATCCGGATTTAAAACCACTCGTATACGTAAATGCGTCAGCCGAATCACACAGTTGGTTCGTCAGAAAGATGAGGCTAAAACAGTGTACACAATAAACTTACCAGATTTATTATCAAGACGTCGACCTTCGAGTCGTCGTTTGCGTTCCTGGACAAAAGCGGCTATTTCATCAAGTTCACCAATGCTGAGAATTCGAGAATCAGCGAGCATTCGCAGCAAAGTGACCATGTTCCTCGAGGGGGCGAGAAAAGTGTGATCTTCCTCGGTATTTTCATCCGCAATAGCTGCAGGCGCAGCCACAATAGGAGGCACTCTGTCCAAGGCCATATAAGTATCATATTCCTTTTGCAACAGAGTTATTGCATCGTCCAAAGGCATGTTACGGTGCTCTGCATAAATGTTATTAGTTGACGGAATGTTGGATGAAATATGAATGGTTAATTAGTTTACTGAAGATGAAAAGCGGTCAAAGTATAGACTGAGTACCATGAAAAAGGGATCACATTGTTTTCTTGTTGGAAATCATATAACGTTGTGAGCAGGTCCATATAATTCAAAAATCTTTACAGATATAGTGCCAAGTAAACCATAGAGGAACCGATGAATAAAGAAGCGGTTTCGGATGAGTAAAACAAAATTGTTTGCGCGTTCACTACATACAATCCCGCAATTCTTTTGAAGGGGGATTGCAAAAATGTTAAACTACACTCAAGCCACCAACTTCGGCTCAATGCCATTTCCGTAGAGTATGCAGCTAAGAATCCGAATCTTTGGGACCCCAGTCTGGAAGGTGGGAAGCTTGAGAACAGTCTCTTCAACACTGTATGCCACGTGGCTCGCCCGCTCAGCTTTTTTTCCAATCTTGTGAAATCGCCGCCAACAACACGTTACGTTAGAGGTTNGTTGTTCAGGTATTTTTGGACCCACCCTAGCCACCTCCAAAGTGCAGTGAAATGAATGGTCCTGCCTAACAGAACACTGGCTGCCCTTAATAAACGTCTGATCTCATCGTTACTCAAGCGATGCTCCCGTCTTGAGCAAGCGATGTTACACAGACAGCGGTGAAAAACAGTTGGTCAGTGGTCAGTGTGAGGTGCCAAATTGCGCAACAATAAAGCAACGCAGCACGTACTGCCGTGTCGCTCACATGCCCCTTCAATGAAGGAGACAGATCGGTTCGGTGTAAGAGATGTTGAAAATCATTAAACGCCATTTTTCCTGCAATTACGTAGAACAGGAAGAACAGTTTACACTATAGTGTTCCTGATAAAACAAACATTAAAGGGTGGTAGTAAGCGTAAAGTAGGAGCGGTTTCAAA